AGATTGGACGTCGGGCGCTGATATGGCGCTGATCTGCTCGCGCAAGTCTGCGGACAATCGCAGCTCGAGAACCTTCACAATATCGGTCCGGAGAGCACCGTCGTCCTCATACCATCCGCCGTTACCCAGTGCCTCGTCGAACAAGACGAGCATGTCATCTCCGGAGAACTCGTGCGCAAGGCGCCAATTGAGCGAAGGGATGTTGAAGATACCATGTTGACCCGCGAACCCTTGCCAGAGACCCCCCAGCAGCTGGATGAGAGTCGAGGGCGCCGCACGCCCGCTCACCACATCCTCCATCCCGTACTCTAGGAAGTTCTCGGCCGTAACGGGATCAGCTCCACCGCGGAGCAGCGCCAACTTGCCCTCACCCGAAGCGCCCTGAAACACCACCTTCAACATCGTCAGATGGTCCTCCGAGGACCAGCCGCCTTCGCTCCATGGGAAGCTGAGGATGTAGCGCATTCTGAAGATCATGGCGAAGAAGACCCAGAAGAAGGATTCGCGGTCGTCGTGGACATCGTGTAGCCAGCGCTGGCCCGCGGCGCGAGCGCGCATGCGGACCGTTGAGAGGTATGCGGGTGTGCCTGTAAAAGGAGGACGTCAGGACTGCAGATGGACTACCGTATGGGATTCGACTTACCGCAATGGCGTGAGCGGGCCCTGTCGTAACGTTCGGAGCCCAGCTTCTCCCTGTCGAGCGCCATCTCCCAGTCGATAAGCACACCACGACCGTCCTTGCCTATGAGGATGTTGCCCTGGCTGATGTCTCGGTGGAAGATACCCATGTTAGACGCCAAGGTGTGTGCTGTGCGACGGCTTAGCCGAGTTTTGTCTATGAAAGAGACTGATAGACTCACCTTCAATAGCATCGCGCATCACCACGACGAGCTCGCGCGACGAACGGAACGTCGACAGTGCCCTCCCGATGTCGCGGAAGGCAATGCGGTAGTGGGTATACGACACCTCCGGCACGTTCTCATGCTTGAACTTGGGCCGTCCGGACAATGTGACCTGGGGAGTGTCGTCCTCGCGGCAGACGTATCCGGCGCTATGCACGCGTGCGAGGTGGGGGATCCCCGCGGCGTGGAGCTTGCGCATCGTCACCCCCTCCGGCTCGACGAACGATTCGTTACGGGTCCAACTATCCTTGACCCAGATGACTTCCTTCGTCACCGGACAGTAGGCGCGGTAGCCCATGGTGTAGCGGCCAACTAACTCTGGCCGAGGGGTGGTGCTGTGCGTAAGAACGGCTAGTACATCGTAAGTTGTCACGTCTGCGCCTTCCGTTTCGGGATCATCAAACAGAAGCAGCTTTTGGACGGATGTCTGGCTGTAGTCGCCCTCGGGGTCGTCGGCTTTGACGGCGGCGAGAGCGACTTCCGCTTCCTCAGGGGTCGCGTCGGACCACGTCGTGTCGAGACCGAGGCCATCCTTGGAAAGCCGTCCGATGCGCCAGAGGAAGTCGCTCAAGTAGAAGGTGTCATCCTTCCAGTTGAACGCTTCAGTCGCAACCACACCGGCATGGTCGCTGCGCACGAGGCGCGCATCTTTACCCGTGATCTCGATGGCGAACACATGTGTGCGCGGAGTCAGCTGGAACTGGTAGAGGTACTCCAGCAGGAGGTTGTGGCGGATGCTGTCGTACTCCGCCTCCTTGTGGTGCTCCGGGTTCCAGACCGGGTCGAAGTACTTGTCCTCGCGGATGTATATCGGGATCGCAACCTCGGTGGCAGCGGTGCCACTCTTGACGTTGTAGGCATGGATATGCAGCTCAGAGCAGAGAAAGCCTGTTGGCCGGAAGTCGAGGTCGGGGCAGAGGCCGGATGCGTTGATGGACGCGCACTATATTAGGTGAATCAATTTGAGTCAACAATAAACGCGGCGGTAGATGCTAAAGACGTACCAGTGACCTTGCGAAACGCCTACGAAGTTCTCCTACTTTGAGGTTATTGCCAAATGGGGGAACGGATGTTTGGGATAGGTTGAGGCCGGCCACATCCCGTGGGTTGTCGACGCCGAAGAAACCCTCCATGAACTTGACCACATGAATTGTGTTGAAGTAGGGCCGAGCGCGGTGCATATGCTCCCGACCGAGCTTGGACGTATCGTGGCCCGTAGCCTTGAGAGTGAAGCTGGGGATGCTTGGGGATGCGGATCTTGCGCGATGCGGAGGCTCAGCGAGCGGCATCGCTGAAGTCGAGGGCTCGTCGTCGTCGTAGGTGCAATACCTGTCGAGGTCGGGCGACGCGGAGCGCGCACGACGTGCACGCGTAGGACTACGGCCACGCTCAGACATTGTGGGGAGGTTGGGAGAGGTTGGTGGTGTTTGAGTGAGTTGAGGCGTGCGGTGCGAAGCTGGATATCATCGACCATGCACGTGATGAAACCACAGTGGGTGCTGCCGAGCACGCGAGGTCGTCAATGGTCAACATGTACCCATATCACCTTGTGTACTCTCGGGTCTTACTGTCGTGTCTCTCAACGCGAATGTCTGTGCTGAGAGGTCGCTTTCACGAGGAACGCGCGGGCGAATTGACTTGTGGCGCGCAGTTCTCTGCCTTCACTCTGCAGTACTGGCTCTGTTGCTTGTGTGGTTGTATCAAGATTACGTCATGGATATGTGATTTTTACATGTCAAGATTCCGTCTAATGCTACGCGTACTTCTGCTTTTCTCTACTGAACCCATGCGCCCAAGAGCACAAACTTCGGCCGTGCGACCGCGGCAACCACAAAGACGCGTCGGTTTGGTATTCATGTGACCGCGTTCATTGTTCCGGACCACTCGGGCCGTTGTGCGTTGTAGTTTCACTGCGGAGCCGCGAGATTGTGTGAGTCGAGCGTGTAGTTTTCTCTCGTTGCTGTTCACGGTAGGGCTGTAGCTCGCCACAAGTGTAGGCGGGTCCTTCAGTTTAACTTGCATGAAGCCAAGTCGCGGTAAGTACTGAGAGGATAGCCGTGCATCGCGCAGCCATCATTTACCGGCCACAACAGATGGCCGCCGCACGAGCGCTATGCCTGCCTCGATCGGGAGTCGAGCGTTCTTCATTACGGTCTTGTACTACTTCTACGTCAAAGACTGCGTGTTCCAAGGCCAAGAAGGTCAACGAGCGCCGCCGTGTCCGAAGGCGGCCACTATCAACAGTTGGCGGACAGAAGCCGGAATCGGCCAGGGCTTTGTTCGGCGCTCTGGCTCGCAAACAGACAAATGCTACAGCAGGTGACGGCGCAGGCGCTATTGAGCCCATGGCACATGGAACGTGCATGGAGTTAAGAAAGAGGGCACGTAGAAGATCAGGCTTGGATCAGGCGTCTAAGAACTAAGCCTTGAGAGCATGTGGATCAAGCTGCTGCATGGCCCGAGAGATGGCTTATGGCCGCATCCAGTATCGTAGGCTGAATCCAGATGTAGTGCAGTAACAAAAGCTAACGACGAGCGAAAGGGAGAGAAGGCTAATGAAGGGTGGAGACAAGGACTGAAGGTGGATTAGGTACAAGTGCACGGCGTTCAATAAGAGAAATATAATTAGGCGGGTCAACCCTCCCGCGTCGACTGGCCCACGCCTTGTCTCTTACCCCGACCATCTCCGCGCGAACTCGATAGAGGCCCGCCACCGTCATCACCGTGTCCGACCTAATATTCTCGTCGTCGACCACCCAGAGCGCGTCAGCCGCGCCATCGAGTTCTCAGGCCCAGTCGCCAGCCATGGCGGTCTCCACGCAGTCGTCGACACCGCCCTTGCCGCACCAGTCCTCCTCGCCTTCGATGAAGCGCCGTGGAGATAACGGAACTTCCCGGATACGCTTTAATGCAGAACTATCCCAATGCCTATTCGACTTCGTCATCCAGCTGCTGCCGACCGTCGACGAACTCGCCGTGAAGGAGGACGTGCGCAAGTTGCTCGAGCGATTGATTCGCACAATCGAGCCGGACAGTCGTCTGCTCTCTTTCGGAAGTACGGCAAACGGATTCAGTCTCAGGAACTCGGGCACGTATAATCCAAAGAACGAACCCGGCTGTGGCGCTAATTGTCATGCTGTACCTAGATATGGACCTCTGTTGCCTTATAGATTCAGAGGAACGTCTGTCCGCGTCCGATCTCGTCACTATGCTCGGTGACTTGCTAGAACGTGGTACGTATATCCAATCATTGTGCATGGCCTTCGGAGCGCCTCACGGCTCAGCATGAACGCAACTTCTTCCGTAACAAGACGTCGCATCTGAAACGCGCCCGTGCCACAAACGGGCGCGCAGGAGTTTTCCCGGATGCGCTCAAGTACTGCTCCAGTTTTGTTTCACATACTTACATCTCGGGTAGAAACCAAGTTCCATGTCAAGCCGTTGCCACACGCACGGATACCAATCGTGAAGCTATCCTTGGACCCGTCACCCGGACTTCCACTCGGCATCGCATGCGATATTGGTTTTGAAAACAGACTGGCTCTGGAAAACACACGCTTGCTCTACTGCTACGCTATGATCGATCCCACCCGCGTTCGAACTATGGTTCTATTTCGTGCGTATACACCTGCGCAGTCATCGATACGCATGCTTACCATCTATACCATCTCAGTCAAGGTCTGGGCTAAAAGGAGGTATGTGTGCCATTTCTCGTGGTCGCCAAGTACTCCGGCTTACCATGATGATTATAGAAAAATCAATTCGCCCTATAAAGGAACACTCTCATCTTATGGCTACGTTCTTCTCGTCATCTATTTTCTGGTCCACGTCAAGAATCCACCTGTACTACCAAATCTACAGCAAATGCCCCCGCTCCGTCCAATATCTCAGGCGGATACGCATATTGGCGGCAATAATGTCTGGTATGCGGTTGGCCAAGCACATCCATTTCACACGAAGCTGAGAATGGGCTTAGGTTTTTCGATGATATCGAGCTTCTACGCCAAAGGTGGCAATCCGCCAACCATGAAAGCGTGGCTCAGTTGTGAGTTGACAGCCTTGGCGCGCCCACCGTGCATCTCTGACGTGCTTCCATTAGATTGACCGATTTCTTCAAATTCTACGCTCGCGATTTCTTGTACAACACCGGCGTCGTATCTATCCGGGCAGGGTTCATCACGAAGGGAAGCAAGGGGTGGCAGAATGAGGTCATTAACCCTTTTCCACCTTCGCTTTCTCATGCTGATGCACCCTCAGCTTGAGTCTTCTCGCTACAAGGATTCACGAGAGCGAAATCGCTTCTGCATCGAGGTAAGTTCGGCGCTTTTATCCATTTACCACTGTCTTGACGCGAACGTTCCGCAGGACCCCTTTGAAACGGACTTCAATGTTGCGCGTTGTGTAACACGGGATGGACTCTACACGGTGCGTCGTTGGCGCCTACCCGGTGTATTTGCCCCGTATCGAGTGAACTTCTCTCAGATTCGCGGCGAGTTGATGCGTGCATCGCGCATACTCAGTCTTCGTCCCGAACGGGCCATCGTGGCCATCGCACAGTTGTGCGAGGAGCGCGCGGATATCCTTGGACCCATACCGGCCACGCCATCATCCGTTCCTCCACGATTATCCCCATTCCCGCCTCAAACGCCATACACGGTCGGCAGCAGCCCCATGCGGCCTAACGAGATCCATATGCCGACGCCGTCTCATGCGTCACCCCTGTCATCCTCGAACGAGCCGACAAGAGTGCCCAGCATTGCGCCGCCTGAGTCCGATACGCCCGAGCACATGGCCCCTCAACGATTGAAGTGGACTTCACCGCCACCTGCGAACGCGCCCTCTGCCGACCATCTCTCCTTCGAGAACCGGCTTGGCTTTGGACTCTCACTCGCGACTGCGCCAGGATCCGCCCATGTGCGCCAGAACGACGGGGATCACTCTTCCAACGCCAGCGAGATCTACACCGACGAAGGCGATGTGGACGAAATACGCTCCATGATCAGTGACTCGGTGCAGTCGATGGCGTCCGAAGACCCTGGCCGTACACGGCGTTCACCGCCCGATTCGGTTCCGAACTTCTCGCCTGTGTCTGTGCAGGGCGGCTACGCATATCCGGCCCATCTACGGGTGCCGAATGAGGCAGGCTTATTCCCGTCCCTACGTGGTCGCGCTTGGCAGCGCCCCGGTGAACCCGTAATGGCCGCTGACCCCCACACTATCAACGCCGCTCGTCGCGTCGACCGCTTTCGGATGGACAGTCCACGACGCTCCATGTCCGGCCCGCCAGGCCCAAGCAAGGTCTCGCTCGCCACGCCCTTGCCACCCTCGCCAGCACCTTCACCTCATGTATTATACGAAACACAAACCTCTGGGTCTCGAACAGAACCCCTGATACCCGCGCCCGCCGCTGTATATTCTCATCTGCAAACGCACTCGCGCTCATCACCGTCGCCATCTTCATCCGCTATGTCTTCACCGCTTATACGCCAGCTGTCCAATTCGCCGCACTCTACGACCACTACTACTAGCCCGCACGCACATCCGTTCGCTCCATCGCATCATCAACATCAACATCAACAACAGTCACATCCACCACATTCACAACATCAGCGCCATAGCCATGGTCAGCTGCCACGATTGTCGCCACATGCACATTCGTTCACTTCGGGCACTTATTCGCCTACTAAGGGCCCGTATTCGCCCGTCCAGGGAAGCCAGTACTCGCCTATCATCACACAGGCATACTCGCCCACATCTGGTCCATCGTACCCCGCCACCTTCCTAGCGTGGCAACAGCAACAGCAAGCGCAGCAGCAGCAGCGCGAGCTTCCGCCTTCGCTCGGGCGCGCGCCTCGACGCAACAGTAGACCCGAAGTCGACATCGCGTCGCCCTCGCCGCCTCCTACTGCTACTGCTTATGGCCATCATGGACATGGTCATAGTAACTCGGCGGTATATGCGCCCGAATCGCTCACGCCACAAGCCGCCACAGGGTTCTTGCGCCCACCAGACGTCTCGCCACAGCTTAGCGCTATATCGGCTGATGTATCTGTTGGCGGAGATCCCGATCCGCTGCCGCCGAGGTGGGAGAGCCCACCACCGAAGGAGCCGAGAGGAGGGAAGGAGTCATCGAAGGAGAGGGAGAGGGAGGAGCAGGAGCAGAGGGAGGAAGTAGTGGAGAGGAGGTTGGACGTCGTTGACGAAGAGCCGGGGCCGTCTGGGGCGTCGAGCAGCAGAGCGAGTCCTAGACCGGATATGTCTAGTTTCCCGAGCCCTGCGCCCATGCACGAGAGATCGTTCGATCGAGGAGAGGGAGAGGGAGCGGAGAGGGTGGCGAGAGAAGAGACCCTAGTCCGCCTAGAGACAATCACTCACGAGGACAATGAACCGACATCCGGCCTAGCGACCATTCATGAGACTGAGCAAGATTCGCCAGCAAGTACGACTGAGTCTGGCCCATCGACAAGTCGAGAACATCGGTCGTCGACGCCAGAGCACCGGAGTCAGGAGCTTGCAAGTACAGAGGATGCGCCCTTGAACGTTCCAGAGGTTCCTGGAGTCGAACCCCCAATACCAATGCAAACAGCCCTCAATCAATCTGCTCGTACAGATGAGAGCCCTGCGCCTTCACCGTCTGGAAGCTGGCAACATTTGATCTCTGAGCCGACGGTCACGAATCTTTCTGCTACTTCTGCAGCGCCAATACCGCGAATATCTTCCACTCCAAGGGTCGACGCGCCAGAAGATACAAGCATCTCGCCAGAGTCCACGTCCGCGGGAAGTGGATCGCCTGCGCCGTCGCTTGTGAGCTCGATGTTCGGCACGTCGGCGCCTCCGTCGCCCACATTTGCTGGTGCGCATAAGCTCGATGCTGTCCCGGAGTGGGTCGAAGTTGTGAGCGCCAATACGCATGAGAACGAGGACGACGCAAAGGTTGCGATCATCACGGAGCGCGCTGAGGCCGTTAAGACGCCCGTGATCCACGATGTTGCGCAGACGGTCCGGGAGGGAAGTATACCGTAGATGGATATATGGCGTCGCATCCGGGGAACACTGTGTCTGCGCTACGCATGAGGTAGTTCGACATCGATAGCGGCTACGTGCTGCGTTGTCTGTATAGGCCAGACTCGACGGTCCTCGAAGACCCGAAGATATGCTTGGAATACTCATAGACAATCCACATCGCTCAGACGAGGAGCATACTTTACGATTCCGAGACTTGATAGTCGAACTCTCCCTCAATCCAGCGCTTCCCGCGTTTTCCCACCTGCTCGTCGTAACTCACCGCCGGTCATCGCTTCGTTCTCGTTTAACTATGCCTTCGTTGGACTTCTATATACGCTCTCGACCTGCTGTCGTATTCCTGAAGTACTCGTTGCTTTCACATATATGGTTGACCGTCGGCTCCCGTGAATTCGCTCAGTACTGCAGCATGGTACTCGGTTGGCGCTCGGCGTCGCGGGATTCTTCGCAACAGCTGATTATACAGACTAGCGTGATGAGATTGACTGGAGCTACTACAGCTCGATTAGGAACCGGGTATATTACGCGTGCTATTGCTATACTGATCCTATCCGGTTTTCTCAAGGTACTCGCGCTGCTCTGGCGCATCCATTCACGAGTCCGGAAGGCGCCGAGCACATCATCTCACGCCGAACCCATCAGCCACCGGTTGATCACCGGAAATATACTTAACCTTTCTGCGCGCGTTAGGCCATTGAATAATCCCGCTTCTGCCCTCCATGTAGCATTGAACGAGACGGTTGGCTACAGAGCGAAAGGGTCAGACACGAGCATTCCTTAATTCTCCGAACTCCCTGCCACAGTACTACATGGTTATGTCAACTGGCCTTGAACCAAGCGCTAGCACTGGGACCAGTATGCGTCCTAGCTAAAGGCTAGGGCATTCTGCGATGCGTACCCCGGCAATGACAAGATGACGTATCTTATCACATAAGTATGGGCGTCTCACCCACAGAGTCTTGGGCTGAAGCTCAGTTGAGGAAAGGCGAGTCGGGCGTGTGCGCCACTGCGCTCGACGGGCTACGACGGACACCCAGCCTCCAGTCGCCGACACTTCCTACTCTAGAGTCGCCTGCAATCATGGATAGGTGTGCAACACTGACCAAGGGGATGATCGCATGAGGATCGGTGAACTGTCCAAACGCTGTCTCACGTCCAGTCCATCTCGCCATACCCCTAAGTACCATGGTCCAGCAGTCAGCTCAAAGCGTCCTTTGGACTAAGTATACGACTATCACATGCAAAGTGGTACGTGTAGCTTTATCAAGCGCTCTGTATACAGTAACTAATCTCAGCCTTCACTTCCCAGTGTTGTGAGGAGGCGGCACGGGCTTGTCCCTCGTCTTCCTCAGTCGTTTGCTCCCCTCGTCCTGCGGCGAGATGCGCCCTAGTGGTGTCACGGTGATGGTCACATCATCGTGTGGTAGCTTCGCTCTATGCGAAGTCGCAGAGAGCGTGATCGCAGGCGGCCCCGACCAGGCGGGTGGGGCTGCCATATGCGCGTCTTTTGACGCGCGCCCGATGGTCTGCTGGATTAAGTTGGACTCCCCTCAAGGATTTTACCCGACCGAGAAATCGGAAGGGTATGTGTCCCCCGCTTCGGCGGGGTCATCCGGACCGGGTTCCAAGGGCTGCGATTACTCTCCGGCGGTGCTGTTCCGCAGCGTGTCTTGCCGTGTGCTGGGGTTGGGACAAGTGGTCCTACCTCACCTTCTGCTCCTCGTTCTATAACGAGATGCGCCCTAGCGGCGCGGGGGATGTTGGTCACATCGTCGTATCGTAGCCTTGTGCTATGTGCGATTCGTGGAGAATGTACTTGCAGGCGGCCCCGACGAGGCGGGTGGGGTTGCCATATGCGCATCGTTCATGATGGGCGCCCGATGGTCTGCTGGATTAAGTTGGACTCCCCTCAAGGAGTATACCTAACCGAGCAATCGGAAGGGTATGTGTCCCCCGCTTCGGCGGGGTCATCCGGACCGGGGATCAAGGGCTGCGAGTGCGTTCAGGCGGCGCTGGCCTCCAGCGTGTCATGCCGTGCGCTTGGGAATCGGACAGAGGGTCCCTCCTAGCCGTCTGCTTACCGCCTTCACGACGTGCGCTCCGTCGCGGTTTGGTGCGCTGGCACTCGGTGTTCAGGCCCTTTAGCTGGTATCAGCTACTGGTACGCCAGTGATGAATCTCTCTTACGCTACTTCTCCTTGTCCTCCCATCTCGTACCCACTTTCCCGACTGCGTCGTTGATGTGCAGCGCCTTATCCTCGCCGTATGCCACTTCAACTCCTTCAGCGTAAAATGCGAGGGCCTGAGCCACCCTCTGCATGCTCTGGCTGCTCCCCAGGGCACGCTGTCGTGTATCGAAGTAGGCTAGAGCCGGGTCTCCGGCAGGATATGGTTACCGGCGCTTCGACTTAGTCCACCCGCCCCAGGTCTCGTACGGTCTTTGTCTGCGTTCTGCGTTTTTCCGAGCTTCAGTGTATGCCTGTGACTCAATGCTGTGTTTGTGGTGCCGTTGACGCCCAAGGGATCTTTTGTCTGTTGTTTGTCTGATAACAGGACGTCTTCTTCGAACATCGTCATCCCGTCGTTGACTAGCGTGGATGCAAGGGGAGCGTGCCTTCAAGCTTCAACCTTTCCAATCCCAATCTTGGCGCTTGAGCATCGGTTCTGGGACAAAGGATTGCATGTCAAGCAGATGGGGAATCATAAGTACTCGGTAGCGCGCGCACGACTGCGCACGACTGGGAGCATACCTGGCGCATCAGCGTCTTAGACGCGCGATCATCGAGCTTCAGCGCCACTCAACTTCGATCAAGGTGTACGGACGTCGACTGGTTTGTCTCGCACAGCTATCCAGTCCGAACACAATGACGAGCCACGCGCACGCGCTGAAGCGCTGAAATCGCGTAAGCTTGCGCTTGAAGTTGATAGGCGTTCAGCGGATTGAAAGACGTCAACACGCGGCGCAACCCGGCACGACTCATGAACGGCAAACTTGCCGGCGACGAACAATATTAATGCCATGAGGCAGAGACACATATATTCACAAGACCGATCTATGACAAAACAAGACGGAGATAACATGCGGGCACGCTGAAGACAAGGGACGAGTAGGGTGGGCGCTGCGACGATCTCACGAAAAACAACAAGGTGTGCGATGGCCGAAGCCTAGTTCGCACCGAGCTGAGCCGCGTTCACAAAGGCGGTAATGTGCTGGCCAAGCGCTAAGGCTTGCGCGGAAAACTCTTGCTGCTGATGAGCCCTTTCGTCGAGTGCCGCCTGACGCTCACGACGCGTCACGGCATGTGCGTCAGTTTCTGCGTCCAACTCGCGGCGCATGGCGAGATTGGCAGCGCGCTCTCCCGCAAGCGCCCACCGCTTACGCAACAGCGTGTTGTTCAGCGCTGAGATAGACTCGTGTGAGGCGACCAGCGCATCATCTTGTGAGGCGATCTCGTCGTCCTGCATGCTCAACTCCACGCCCGCCTCGTCCAGCCTTTCCTCCGTCTCTTCGATCTGCGCGTCCTTCGCTTCAAGCTCCGCAGACAGCCTCTGGATCTTCTTCTGATTGATCCGTATGCAGCCTTGGGAGATGTCACGGAGGAGAAGAAGATGACGGGACGCCGAGCGAACGCATGTGTCACGCAACTTGTCAGCGATAGAGTCGCAGAGGTATGCGACTGCGAGGTCTGTGTATCGTAGTTTAATCAGCAAACGAAGGAAGTGACCAACGAGCGTAGAGCGAACCGTTGCTCATTTCAGACGGCGCCTGAAGCCCGAACCGGTTGAAGGCGATGGCGAGTTGGCTCGTGGTAGCGGCGTAAGCCAGACGGGATTGCTGGAGCGCGTCAAACAGCAGCTGAAGCCCGGAGCCTGTAAGAGCCTCAGCCTAGACAACAACCGCAATTGGAAGCTAAAACACGTACCAACCGTCATACCTTCCGGTACCTTGAGTCGGAGACCGTCGAAATAGGCAAGCAACTGTTCGAATACCGCGACGTTTCCATCACGGGCAGCCCGAAGGTAAAGAGCGAGAAGCTCGATGACGTTGTCTACACGCCATTAGGATTAAGCTGGTTAACTGAGAGGGAGATACGCACATAGGTTGGCATTCACGGGAACGGGGATTGTCTCGTTCACAAGGATAACACCGGATATGCGGTTCACCTTGCCCGTCCACTTGCTGTTCCTCTGCCCGATCTCTTTCACGAAGTCGCGGTCGCGAGGGGTCAAGTAAGATAGAGCTTCGCCTGACGGGAGCTGAAGCTCTTCGGCGGGCCCGTTGATACGCGCTTGTTTGGATACGCGGACTTCAGCGTCGTCCGTGGGCTCAGGCGCATCTTCCAAAGGCTCGGGGCTCGGAACCCGGGCGCGCTTGAGGTTGGCGTCGCCCGACGGTCCAAGTTCCACCTCTACAAGTCCGCCAGACTTGCGGGAGACCTGGCGGGTGGTATGGTGTGACCTGGCGGGGGCAGACGTGGACGGCGGGGAGATACCCGTGGGTCGACCGAAGTGGAAGGCGGGTGCTCTGGCAGACATGATAGTAGTATGATGTGTTCGATCGTCTGCCGGCAGACGTTGTAGAACGATAGAGAGACTAGGATGAGATAATGTGCGGGGAGTAGTAGATGATGGCAGCGGGGAAAGCCAGAGCAGCGCTCCAGTTGGCCTTTTAAACGGACAGCTGCCAAAGAGGAACGCATTGCGAGGCATCTTGCGCCTTATCGCACGCAGACAACATGCCTACGCATTCCTCGTGACCATGAGATGTGCTGGGGTTGCGTTCACTGTCAGAAAGTCTCGGAAGCACCGAAAGGTGTCGCCCCGCCCGGGCGTGGATGCATTAGAATGTCCGACACCGGCACCGTCGAGGCCTGAGAGCGCAACTTCTTTCGATTCAAAAGCTGACAGCGGGCATTCTGACTGTATAGCAGCTTCGGCGCCCAAAGGAGTAGATGCATCTGACTGTATGGTCTGTATGAAGAATGCGCTCAGCAAGACGAGCTGGTCGTCCAGAGAAGAGTGATTGATCGTCACAAACGCCCATTCGCGAGATGCCGACGGGCCTTCCCACGCCGCTGCACTTGAATGATCTTCACCGGTGAGGCGTACCGAGATTCGCGTCCGTCGACGCTCAATCGCAGTATGTATACATGAAAGATGATAGAGCATGTCGGCCTGCATGTAATCTCGTAAATTACTCTATCTGAGCGCGGCACCCCGCTTGCAGTTCTAACATGGATGCGCGACGCCTCTCACTATGAGTCTCAAGCCGCGGACGGTTTCTCGGCTTCCTAAAAGTAGGCGCTCAGGCAATGCCTCAGCGTCTGTACAAAGATGCCAGACAGACTAGGATTGCATGCATCCTGAGCGAAGGGCGAGACCGCCGGAACGGCGTCAGTTCACGCTACGCGACCGAGCCAGCAAAGCTCGAGGATCGAGATGAGAACTAGCTCGCGCTTAGAAATATATCCCTCTTGTGCTCCCTTAGGATCGATTCTTGTCACCCGTAACTCAACCTGACGCTGCATACGGAGCCATGACCTGCACTGGTGCCCTTGGCAGTCGCGTGGAAGGCTTCACTCGGGGACGGAAGGTTACTGATGCTCACTGACTAGCTGGCGATTGTACCACCTGCAGCAGCCTGCAGCCTTGAGCAATATGAGTCGATCAACCTTGCCAGATTCACTCCGGAAGCTGCGTGTCCATACGCGCGCTACATGAGATGAGTTTTGCCGGCTCGCTCCGACGTCGAACGAAGGAAGACTCTTGTGGCGCAATGATTTCTAGGCCCGTGGGCCGGACAGTAGTGATACAGTGGAACAAGCAGAGGCAGAGCAAGATGGGCGACGATCGATGCAATGATGCAAGAAGTAATCTATTCCGCGGCCATGAAAGGGTTCGCGATCTCTTCAAAGCCGTCGACGGGACTGAGGAGCGTGATGGTGGGTCCTCTGAGTACAGCAAGGCCAAGCGACCTTGTCCTCGGCTCTGGATCTAGATACCATGATATCAGTATCAGCAGCGCAGATTGAGCATGAGAAGCTCGAACCTGCGACGTCCTCCTTGACATCGTCGAGAACAAGGTTGAGGAGCTGGTCGTATCCTTTGAGGACACCAGTGACTTCACGTCCACCGGTAAACTTCACACGGATCCGCTGGTCGGCGTACTTGGACAAGTCTAGGATGGCCTCGCGTTTGGGCTTATCCGCGCCTGCGGGCCCACCGGGCGTACGCGCGCCGCCGCGTCCTCCGCCGCGTGCTGGCGCTCGTCCCTATTGACGGGTCATTAGTCCACGATGACACACATGGGCGAGAGGATACAGAAAGGGAATTAGCTCACTCTGTCTGCCATGATGGACGGTGTTGGTGGCAGGGAGAGAAGAGAAGGATACCGAAAGAAACTCACATGACGCGTTGGAGGGCAAAACATGGTTTTTATTGGTCGCTCGCTTCCTTGACCACCTACGGCCATCTGTCCATCATGAACGCAGGCGACCTCCTCGCGAACACTCTATCTCCAGGTTCGCCCTCTCTGCACAATATACTATCTCCATGATATCTCGGATCTTAATATATACGGATTAGACCAAAACACGCGCGAGCAGGCGACGCGCGAGCTCGAGAATGCCGCCGCTTCGAACTACGTGCGTGTCATATTCTATATCTTATGGATAGGATCTGACTGTATGAGTATAGCCTGCGTATATGCACATGCTGAGTGCCGAGCTTGTTGATGAAGGCAAGAGCGTCTTTGTCCGCAACGCTGCCGGTCTCGCCCTCAAGAATGCCCTCTCCGCACGCGTACGTCCATTTCTGGATACTATTTTCGATACTTGCTGTGTGACATGTGCTGGAATACGCTGTTATACGCGTCAAAGCGGTGCGATGCCACCACAGCAGTGGCCAGATCCCTTGTCTCCACCCGCCCATGTCCTTGTCCAATATCCCTATTTTCCTAACTGCCACGCATCGCGCCCGTGTCCTCGCGTTTCTATGCAGGCGTTGCACTGTATTGGATCTGGGCGCGTTGCGATGACTCGTGTGCGCGCGTCCGAAGGGATTATTATGTCTTCGATCTCTCGGCGCGTAGGGGGCGTGGCAGAGGGTATTGGCAAATACAACGCAGATCGCCGCACGCACGGGATGCGTACGCTCTGCCGTAACTGTTGGGGGATGGACACGTCTTGCTGGATGCAGCGCCACGGCGTTGTGACTCGCGATCTGGCATGGTTGCGACGGTGGCGCGTCGTTTTAACGCGTCTTTGATGCGCTGATGGGATGATTCTCGTGCTTTCCATCCATCTTTTGTCGTTTCAGCTCCCTCCGTCTCTCTCTATTCAACTCAGCTATTCCACATTGGCAGTTACTGACAATGTGTTACGTTACAGGACTCTGCCAGGCAAGCCGAGTACTCCTCACGCTGGCTATCCCTCGATGTCGACTCGCGGAACAAAGTCAAGCAGGATATGCTCATGTCTCTACACTCGCCCGATAAGAAGGTCGGAACCGTAGCTGCGCAGGTTGTAGCGGCCATCGCGGCCGTCGAGCTTCCGCAGGGACAGTGGCCCGACTTGATCGAGCTTTTGCTCGGATTCGTCAACAATGCGCAGAACACCAGTTTGCGCATATCCACGTTGACGGCTATCGGTTTCCTTTGCGAACAAATAGTGAGTCGTCGAGCCATTGTTTACTATGCCCCATCGTCTGACTTTCACTTACAGGACCCCGATGTGCTTGCTGTGCGTTCGAACGAGATCTTGACAGCCGTTGTACATGGTGCGCGCAAGGATGAGCCGAGCGTAGAGGTTCAGGCTTCGGCTATGAGCGCACTGTACAACTCGTTGCCCTTCATCCGGGAGAACTTTGAGCGTGAGGGTGAGCGGAATTATATCATGCAAGTGCGTGATCGGACGATATTGTTGTCCAGACGGAGTACTGATCAATCCGGCAGGTTATCTGCGAGGCAACTCAAAACCCCAACATCGACATTCAGGTCAAGGCTTTCGAGTGTTTGGTGCGCTGCATGACCAGCTACTACAGCAAGATGGCTTTCTACATGGAGCGGGCACTCTTTGGTGTACGTTTCCTACCTGATTTGGCATCTTCATCAGCTCATTTCTGTCCAGTTGACGGTTATGGGCATGCAATCTCCCGAAGAATCCGTTGCGCTGCAAGCCATCGAGTTCTGGACGTCCGTCGCGGAAGAGGAAGCGCAGCTCGAGCAAGACTTCCAAGACATGCAAGACGGTCTCCTCGAAGGCGACGTCGAAGAGCCGAAATACTTCGCCAAGATCGCCCTGCCAGAGATCATCCCCGTCCTCCTCCGTCTCCTCACCAAACAAGACGAAGACGCCGACGACGAAGAATGGAACGTGTCCAAAGCGGCAGGAACGTGCCTGAACTTCCTCGCGCTCGCCGTACACGACGCCATCGTACCGAGCGTTATCCCCTTCATCGAGGGCAACATCAAGAACGCGGACTGGCACTTCCGCGAGGCGGCCGTTATGGCTTTCGGCTCGATCCTTGCCGGCCCCGACCCGAGCGTGCTCACGCAGCTCGTGAACCAGGCTCTGCCCATTCTCCTCAGCTTGATGGATGACTCAGACGTGAACGTCAAGGACACGACGGCGTGGACGCTCGGTCGCGTGTGCGAGAACTTGATCGTGTGCATCAAGCCAGACGTGCATCTGCAGGCGCTCGTCACGAGCTTGGTCCGTGGGTTGCAGGATAGCCCGAGGATCATCAGCAACTGCTGTTGGGCGCTTATGAACCTCGCGGACGGGATGTATGAGGCGTATGAGCTTCAGGAGGGTCAGGAGAGCGGGCCTATGAGCCCATACTTCCACGGTATCATTTCGGCGCTGTTGGCTGTCACCGAGACGTACGTCGTGTTTTCAATTTTGATGGGGGATACGGGCGCTGATTGGGTTATGTAGCGCGAGCAACGAGTCGAATTACCGCACGGCCGCATACGAGGCTATCACCGCCTTTGTGAACATCGCGTCGCCCGACTGCGAGCGCGTGGTGCAGGACACGGCGCTTACGATTCTCACGCGCATGGAGCACCTCCTGAGCGTACAGAACCAGATCCTCGGCGTCGACGACCGCAACAACTGGATCGATCTCCAAGCGAACCTCTGCGCCGTGCTCGTCGGCATCATCCGCAAGCTCGGCCAGGGCATCGCACCGCTCGCGGACCGCATCATGACCGACATCTTGCAGCTCATCCAGGGCGCGGGAAAGACCAGCACGATCCTCGAGGACGCGTTCCTCGTCGTAGGATCGCTCGCCGCGGCCATCGAGACGCGCTTCGCACCGTACATTCAGGCGTTCTTGCCGTTCTTGCATCCGGCGCTCAAGGCGCACGAAGACGCGCAGCTGTGCCAGGTCGCCGTGGGCATCATCGGCGATATCTGCCGCGCGCTGGGCGATCAGGCCGCGCCGTACGCCGAGGCGTTCGTCACGGTCCTGCTCGAGAACTTGCAGAGCGACGTGCTCGCGCGCAACGCGAAGGTCACGATCTTGTCGTGCTTCGGCGATATCGCTATGGCGGTCGGACCTGGGTTCGCGCCGTTTATCGATACGGCTATGACGGTGCTGCGCCAGGCGGCGTCTATCCAGCCTAACCCGCTCGATTACGATTCGATCGATTATGTTGCGTCGCTCCGCGAGGGCATTCTGGAAGCGCATACGGGGATCATCGTCGGGTGCAAGCATACGCCCGCTGCCGATGCGCTTCTGCCGCATGCGGGCACGATTCTCGAGCTGTGCCAGATGGTGCTGCTCGATGAGAACAGCGGGGAGAGCGCGGACAAGCTCGCATTTGGTGCTATCGGGGATCTGGCGGATTGCTTCGGGGACGGGAGGATCAAGGGGTTGCTTGTGGGGCAGGAGTGGGTGGCGAAGGTGTTGAATACCAAGACGAGGTATGCGAAGGATACGAAGGCGACGATCCGGTGGGCGAGGAGTATGGTCACGCGTGCGACGGCGTAGATGGAATGGACGTTGTTTGATACTGTGACCTGTCGTTTATGGTGTTCTCGGTGCCTCTCTTGCTATTCGGATGAATGTCATTTTCTCCTCCTTTCTCTTCTTTCTTCTGCATCGCTCTCAACTTCTTGTCTCGGCCGCATCTCTCCCACGTACCTATCGCATGCACTCTTGATCTCACACGCTGTTTTCTCCCTTTTCTCCTGCACGCATCACTGGCCTCTCAAGGAGGCAACGACTCATTGCATCGCGATTTGACGTACTACTTACGTTCTGTGCTTCCAATCCCCATCTCTCCATCCAGTCTCTTTGGTATCTGAATCATCAGTCTTCCCCTCTCCGTCTTTACGCTTAAGTATTGCTTACTACTCTGCGCTTGCCCGCTTCAGTACGAATACTGAATGAATTGAATGTACGCTCCCTCGAATCTGAAGCTCCCACCCCATTCCGAATCTCATAGTTTTCTGTTACTTTTTCCTCTTCTGATACAGTAAAGTAGTCACTCGACCTAGCCCACCCTTCCTACTACACGTAGTCTTGCTTTCAGCTTTCTGAGTTTGTGGTACTCATTTTGTCGTTCGTAGATTCATCTTGCAGTGCTCAAGGCGCGCCCGAATGCTCTCCATGTTGTCCGATATCTTACTCGGCTCGTCGTTTCTACTCTGGAAGTCTGCGCGAGACTTGATTCCGAATTGTGCATGATACGTCCAAACAATGTCATTTGCTGTTGCAACTACGGCAGCAGAGATATATGACTAAAGCTAAGACAAGGGATGAGATGCCTGTAATGATGTCAGATAGTGAGGGGAGAGCACACGCGCGCGCTGCGCGGGCGGTTGGAGAGGGTTTGCCCATATTCGGGATGTCAAGTGAGCCTATCAGTAGGTTCAGCGAATGAGTGATTGCATGATTGAGACCCACGAACGGAGTTCATCTTCGGGCTTGATGAATATACTCCTCGGTCGCTCCATCAAGTAGTTATAGGGGAGCCCACGACCCCAACGATCGAACAGCCGTATATGCACCTTCTGGAAGATATTGAACAGTACGGGATCACAGGTACCGTCGAGCACAAGCTGCTCTGAGTAGACAAACATTAGACCGAACGATCGCATCGGAATCCGCCATAACGTTTTGGCACCGTCCTCGCACGTAGAGAAGAGCGGGGCAGTTCTGGAGGATAGAGGTGCCGATGTTGAGCCTTCGTCGTGATCAAGCACGCAGTATACCGTAGCGTCAGGACTCAGTAGTTGGCTTGTCGGACAGGGACGGACGCGTAAGGTTTCCAGCGAGGTTGACTCAGTCGGCGGGAATACAGGGCGGAGCTCGTAGCAGTGCAGGAAAGGAGCGGCGTGCTGACGCTCTGGAGTTGAGCTGGGGTCTTTCTCAAGGTCTTCGAACATCTATAGTTGGGTGAGCATAGTAGCCATTCTTGGTTGATAAAGGATGCGCACCTCATCCAACGTCTGCAGGCATGTTGGATCGCGGCCCGCGAGATCGAGTACATGGTCGATGTACAGCAGTAGCGGTTTGCAAGAAACGAGAACAGAGATAGGCACTTCATCATCTTTATCTGTGTACATGAGCCACCGGCGAGCGCATGGCCGGCAAGCTGTCCTGATCATGAGTGCCCAAGCCTGCTTTAGGAGACAATGCAACTGACCGTATAATCCGTTTCGGGCCTCATAGGGCGCGAGTACCCTCGTGTAGGAGGACACAAGGCATTTCAGATACTACATACTGATTGAACGCTTGGAGTGTTGAAGGTAGAATAGGCGACCCTGACCATGCGCCGCTGGTAGAGGAGCGGAATGAAATGGCCTTCTTCGATCTGTAGGGGTCTCTTACACAGGACACACTTCGAGCCAAAGTCTGATCTGATGTGCAAGCGGGCAGCATCGTCGAAGTAGCCTTCCAGTTCGTCCAGGTCTGCCATTTTGGGAGAGAGTCTGAGTGCGGTAGATGGTGGTCGGGAGTGAGTGAAGAGCGGTCACGTCATTGCCGCCACTTGCAAAGACAACATGGATATACGACATGACAATCAGGTATGACGGTGATATACAATCACTCCATTGATTCCTTGTTATCCCAATGATATACAACACAAACAGAACCAAGCCCGTGAGAAACACTCCGCTACGCGCGCTCGCGCTCAAGACGAACCAAACTTATACCCAGCCTGGCGCCGAGCCTTCTTGATGCTCCACGACGAGGCATCGGAATACTCCTTAGGTTGCGTGTACCCCGCGTACTCCGGGTCAACGTATTCCGTCTCATTGTCGTATACGTTCACGGTGACGGGTCCAGCGCCCTGAGGACTATTCTCCTCGATGATGATGGTAACACCGTCCCCATTCTCGCCGTCCTCTGAGGGCGGGTAGTACGGCGTAGAGGGAGATTCCGGTGTGCTGGTGCATGGCTCGCCATCGCACACGGGAGTGCAATCGTCGCCATCGCATGATGAGGTCTCCGAGGAAGAGGAACCCTCAGACTCGGAGCAGTCGAGCGGCGAGTCGCAGTCGCCAGTCTCGCTGCTTCCTGTGGCGGGTTCTGAGGATGCGGTCGCAGTTGACGCGGCGGCAGACGAATAGTACGTTGCGGTAGCAGAAGAAGTGTAGACCGCGGTCGTCGTCGCCTCGGCGGCGGATGAATAGTAAGTGCCGGTCTTCGCGCTCGTCGAAACTGTACTCTCGGGGGCCTCAGATGTGTATGTGGCGACGGAAGAGCTTGCGCTGGCATAGTAGTATGTGTCTGTTTCGGTGACTACGGCCTCGCCTCCGGCCGTAGCGCCCGCTGGATACGCAGTGGTGATGCCCGCAGGAAACGCATTCGCCGGTACACGCGGCTGGCGTTGGCTTGTCGGCTGCTCGCCGCGGTCGATCCCGCAACGCGCGAGACATTCAGCTGTGCCGAGCGCGACGTTGTCCGGGATGAGTGCTTCGAAGCCTGCTACCTCCTCTACCCCGAGACCGCCAAGCGTAGCACCGACGATATCCGGCGGAAGTCCGAAGTCTATACAATGAAGCGTTCAGCATACGATGTGCGTTACAAGAGCAAGACGGGAAAACGCACAGCGCTGAGCGACCTGGCTGACACCTGGATCTTCGCCATTGAACGCCGCAACGAACATAGCAGGTTCGCAACTGGGGTTCATCTCGAAATGAATTGCGCCTTGGGGGAAGACGGTAGCTGTTCCGGGTCTGATGTCGATTTCGGCAAAACGTGCACCGTTCTCGACAAGCACACCACCACGCAGGGTCGTGTTGACACTGAAGTTGATCTCCGTTGCGCGAGGGTGGGTGTGCGGGCTGTTGATGCCGCAGGGACCGAGGAAGCCGATGGCTGCACAAAATTAGATCCAATGTCTACATGGAGAAGGAGAGTACCAACTCATCGAAACGCCGTTCCCGACAACTGCCGCGAAGTTCTCGGATGTGGCGGCGACAGTGTGCCCGCC